GGGGGGGGGGGGTTTGGAGGTGGCAAACACGTCACGGATGGTGGATAGTACAAGCCAACGACCAAGGTGTCGATGTCTTGTTGTAGTTGGCTTTGCTCCCGTCGATGGAAGATGCCTCATGCTGTCCTCGCTACTGCCAAAACAAGGCCGGACTATTTGCTGTGTGAGCGGCGTTGAGTAAGGTCTGGAGTCGAAGTGCAGTGCCCCAGGAAAAGCGGATTCGGTTTTTTGCAAGAGTACGTTGGGTGGCTGCAGACCCCAGTCTTGCCGCACGCCGCATGGATCAGAACGAACGGCGGTGAGCCCGGCTTTTTTCCCTGAATTCGCCGCTCTCCTCCTTGACGCGCTACCGTAGACACAAGTCTCACATCGGCTCAAATATCTGCGTTGTGCTTCCGCGCTCGTCTATGGACGACAAATGTGGCAGGTGGACGCCGGCGCTGATTTCGTGATCACGCAGTTTTTCTACGACACCGAGGCGTTCCTGAGCTACGTGGAGCGCTGCCGAGAGGTGGGCATCACGTGCCCCATCATCCCGGGCATCATGGCCATCCAGGTGCGCGCATGGCGCCTTGTTTTTGTCTGTCTCGTCCGCGACCTGCAGTACGGCCCCGCAGTCAAGAAATATGTCAAGAAACAGAGGCTCAGGTTTTCACGAAAAAGTTGAAAACAGGTGTATGAAACACAGCTCAGCAGTGGATTTCTGTAGTACACTCTAAGGTGGCGATGAATGAGAAAGTGAGCCTGAAACCGATTTTGATATTTGGTTCTGGGGGCCGGTGCTGTGCAGCGCGCTCGGCGGGGGACAATAGTCAATGCTCTCTATAATAGGTGCGATTTCCCTTCAAGCGCAGCGCGGTATGCCTCCGCAGCCCACGCGCCACCACGAGTTCATGCTCTTTTCGTGGCTACGAGATTGGACTTGTGCATGGAAAGAGCTCCATCACTAGCTATTAATAGGCCCTTCATCATCGTCCTTGCATTGCTTTTAGCAGTCGGCTTTGAGCCCGAGGAGAATGTAAAGCATAAAACGCCGTATTGGCCAAAACACGAGCAAAACGACAGAAAATGACGCCATCTTCGAGCGTAATTGGAAATAACATGTTGTAATACATCAGATGTTCAACTTTCAAAAGGAGCATCGAAAAAGAAAAAGAAGAAGCATTGTGAGAAGTGGCTTCGATCACTATGCGTCTTAGCACTGAGCCCCCCCCCCGCTCCCCCGCACCGCTGCCACTCTTTTCGCGGCGCCCCATCCGTGCAGAACTACAACGCGTTCACCCGCATGACCGACTTCTGCGAGACCCGCGTGCCCTCCGAGGTGCGGGAGGCGCTGAAGCCAATCATGAGCGACGACGACGCCGTGAAGGACTACGGGGTAGACCTCGGCATCCGAATGTGTAAGGCGCTGACGGAGGCGGGCGCTCCCGGTGAGTTCGTTCGTCTCGCAGCAGCGAAAGCGGTGTCTACCTGTGGCGGCGGCGGCGACTGGCTATGCTTTTGGCTTGCTTTGTGATTTCGGGGTATTTATTGATTGGCGGCGGAATAGGGGCGATGCTGAAGCGGGGAGGTTGCGGCGGAAACTGATGCTTAACCCCTTGACAACTCTTTGCTGCTCGTGTGATTGAAAGAGCTGCAGCACCAGCAGCCACAGCGCTGGCCGATCAGTACACCGCTTGGAGCGGTATTAGGCGTTGTTAAAGGCAGTGGTCATAATCTGTATACGATGTACTGCTGTACCTCGATCCATCTCGGGGTGTCGGATTTGTCTCGGCTGCGCCATCACCCCCTATTAGCTTGTTTTTTTTTGCGAGGAGATCGCCGTTGCCGTATATTTTCCATCCTGCACGACACGACGGTTTCACCAATGTCTCCTGAAACCTATCTACGCTAGCTACCCTCGTGCACGCACACCGGCGGATACGCACCCCTTCCAGTCCCCCCCCCCCCAGTTCCTGTACTGGGGAATAGGAAGTGGGTTGAACAGGCGGAAAGTGATATCGATATGATAGACAGACTAGGGAAGACCTTTTTAAGCCACCCTTGGCAAAGTAGGAAGGAAGGGTTGGCCATCGGTGATCGGTCCTGTGGGAACAAGCCTCCGTCCTCTCGAGGACGCTTGATCAATGGTCTAACCGCTAGGCATGCGAAACATGAGAGTACTCCCCCCCCGTTCCTCACATCGCTCCGTCCTGGCAATTGTAGGGATGCGAGGCCAATGATCTAATAACACTACGGCATGCGTTTCGTGAGTATCCTCCCCCCCCCACTGTTGTTCTGACGTGTGTTCTGGTAGGCTTGCATTTCTACACGCTTAACTTGGAGCGATCGGTGCGGCTTATCCTGGACGGGTTAGGGTATACGGAGACGGCGGCGACGCGGCGCATGTATCCCTGGAGAGCGTCGGCGCTGTCGAAGCGGGCGGCGGAGGACGTCAGGTTTGTGCCGCTGCCACTGTCTTTCTGCTCTCTGTTGCGCCATGTCTCTGTTGTTGTAAGCGTGTTTTCTAGAGACTATACAAACATTGAAAGAAATAGTACCCGTTCGAGATATAACAACAATCAAAGGGGGTGGTGTTTGCCGCAGACGCGGGGGGTTGGATGGCAGGAGTCCGTGCGGCTGTTGGGGCACCGGGGGAGAAATATTTCTGGGTCGGGCACGTGCGTATTTGCTAGTGGTTGGAGATTTCGGAGGATGCCACTTCCTTTCATGAGGGCGAAACAGATATGTGTCGGGGTTGGATTCTTGATGGATTCTGATGTTTCGTGTCTTTCTCTGCCGTCCTGTCGTCATCACCGTTAGTGCCGCCTCTTGGGAGGGATGTTGGGCATGTGCGCTCTCCTATTGCATGGGTTTTTGTTTTTTGTGTTGTTCCACAGAGCTCGCCGAAGGTTGCTTGTTGCTCTGCTGCTGCTGCTGCTGCTGCTGCTGCTGTTGCCGGTGTCGTTGGTAGCGCTGGTGGTGTTGATGTATCACCGCTGCTACGGAGTGTTGCAGTAGTGGTGTCTGTTGTTTGCTGCCGCCGCTGCTGCGGTAGTTGGTGTTGGTGTTGTTTATGACTACTGATCTTATTCTTGTCCGATCGTTTGTGGCAACGATAGACCCATTAACTGGGCGAACCGGCCGCGGAGCTACCTGGCACGCACGGAGGTCTGGGACGAGTACCCCAACGGGAGATGGGGCGATGGCAGGTACACATGAAGCCCGCAACACCGCTCACATCGACAATGGTGGACGTGCCCGCGACTTGAGACCCCCTATATCATCGTGTCCCTTTCGCTTCATCGTGTTATGCCGCCAGTTGCCTCTAGCGGCATCATGTAAGATGGGTACCAGAGGTATTTTGGCGTGTACGATACCACGCTGGGCAGGTGGTCTTATTGGCGTTACCGCGGTTCACTCGAACGCAATAATCATGGTCGAGTACTCTCTTGCTTGACTCTCTTTTCGATGGATATAGAGGCAGGAGGGTCATTCTCTGCGGTGCTGCGTAGGTCATGTTGATGTTGCCCCTTCGATTGTTCGTTGTCGAAAGTTTTCACCTCCTTGGTCGAGGCGTCATTGCTGCTGGTTTCTCTCAACGTTGTTGCAGGTCTCGTCAAGTCTTTGTCGCGCCCGCTGCTAAACAATCACCTGTTTGTGTACCTCTCTTTTTTCTGCTGCGTACGACCCAAGTGAATCTTAATGTTTTCCCTCTCCCCCCTTCCGCTTTGCTTGTTCCTCCCCGCCCTTTACCACCTTTCACGCTGTGTGTCGCTATTAGGAGCCCTGCCTTCGGCGAGCTCAGCGACACTCACTTCTTCCGTCCCCTGGTGGGCACCCGGGAGGACCGCAAGGCCATGTGGGGGGAAGCGCCGATCGTCCCGGGGGAGATCTTCGAGACCTTCGCCTCCTACATCGAAGGAAAGATCCCGAAGCTGGTGAGAAAGAAAAAGAAGCGCCGGTTCGTCCTTCCCCGTGCGTGCCCCTGAAATACATCTGTCTGTGCCTAAATGCAGTGTCGACTGCCCGCGAGAACCCGCTCGCCGCGAGCGACACCCTGACAATGCAAGACTATTGTGGATGCTTCGTCTCCCAAGGACCACGCTGGAAGATAGCTCAACACCTTGCGTTGGCGGCATTCAGTGTCTTATTTTTGGGAGGGGGGGCGTGTGCACGAGGTCGTTGTAGCTGTGGCATCACATCAACATCGGCCGAAGTGCCACCAGGCTTCACCTCATCAACCACATCAGACGACGCGGGGGTTTTCACGTGCTTGGGGCGCTTTTTTGTCAACAACCAAGAGGGCCACAACACTGGTGGAGTGTACGTGTACCGTATCTGCTACATGTACCGACAGCATGACAAATGAAACGGCTGATGTTGCTATGGTTGATTGCTGAATTGCTGTTCTGGGGTTGATTGGAGGAAGACTCGGGGTGTAATCCCGTTTCCGCACATCCGCCTGCTTCCGCACGCCCACACTCCCCGTTTTTTCTCGAGGAAGCCGTGGTGCGAGGTTAGCCTGCAGCAGGAGTCTAGCACGATCGGGAAAGAGCTGGCGGCCATAAACCGCAGAGGGTTCCTCACCATCAACAGCCAGGTGTGATTGGTGAAGGTGAAGAGCTGCGAAAGACGTCGGGGGCGGGGGGGGAGGAGGGGGAGGCGTCTCGTTCGCTGTGCTTGCAGAGGCGAGCCAACCGTAGAATGCTTGCCGCCATCACCAGCAATCAGGCGCTGATGGGAGGGAGACGCGCGGTGTCGTTACAGTGGTAGCCATCGACCGACCCCCCAGAGACTTTCCACGCCATCGTCAAGAGCACGGTTAGTGCACGCGACTTGTTGTTGGGGGGGAACTGCCGACAACCCTCAGAGTCGGTAGTTCTCAAGACCTGATTCGTGCGCGTGCTCTCCTTTTTACAACCTTGTGGGATGTATCCGATTCCATTCCTTATTCCCCCTCTCTGGCCTTCATCCTCTCATCTTCTTCCCTCGGCCTCCACGCCTCGTGTTATCTCCTCGTACGCTTGTTTTTTCCTTGACGTTCTTCTTGGTTTCGCGGCGAACGCGAAGCCGGCTGTAAACGGAGCGCCGAGCGACCACCCTGTGTTCGGGTGGGGCGGGGGAGGGGGTCGGGTCTACCAGAAGGCTTACGTGGAGTTCTTCACGTCGGAGGCGTTGTTGGATGAGGTTTTGGAGGCGTGCGCGTCCCGGCCGGAGCTGAACTACTACGCGGTAGGCTGTTTGTTGTTGTTGTTTTTGTTGTGTTGTTTTGTCGTTCATGCCCATTACTCCGATCACAATAATTAATCTAATTGCCGACACCTGACAAATTCCTTTCGGCTCTGATAGATATCCATCGCTGTTTTTTGTTGGTTCCGACCGGTCAAGCCGTGTATCAAAAATCGCTGATCGCAGAACATCAGAGCAAGATGATTTCGAATTTCATAAGAAAGCCAAAAGCACTGCTGTGACCCACTTGATTTGCTTGTGGAGCGGGATAGCGAAGAGGGCCCCCGGGATATCGAAGGGTCCCCCACTCCTCCTGCTTGCTTGTTTTCTTCTCTGCCTCTCTTGCTGTGCCACGTGGAATTAACCCCGGAAGGAGTCGTTCCATGAGTTCACGTATTTTAACCCATCATTGTAAACTTGATTTTTTTGCAACCCGCAAGTGATTGATTCATCGAACTGAGGTTTCGCGTTCACCCCCGTCACACCTACCCCGTCGGAAGTAGTTAGCACCGTTCTCCCCGCAGCGTCTGCTGTTTTCACAGCAGTTACAACCCCGTTCTCTCCGTCATTGTCTGTTTCTTCTCCCGTTGTTGTGCCAACTATCAATCAATCTGAAGGTTGACGTCAAGGGGCGCACTCGATCAAGGGGGGTCAAGGGCACCACGGCGCTGTCATGGGGCGTGTTCCCCAACCGGGAGGTGCAGCAGCCGACTGTCTTTGACCCGGAAACGTACATGGTGAGAGGCTGGTTCCGGCTTGTGTGGGTCGACTGAACTAGACGTGTGTTGTGTATGCGCCACGCTATGTTGCCTAGTTCTGGTATTGATTGGCTCTTGTCCTGGCGCTCTTGGGTTTCCCTCTCTGGCTCATATGTTGGTATCTTGGTCGCTCGCGTTCTCTTCGGACCGTTTTTGTACTTTCAACGTTCGCCTGCTGCTGCTGTGTTTGCGTGGCACGGGTGACGGGGTGTAGGAAAGGGCGAAGCGTTTCGGTTATGTGGGTGGCCCTGAGCGTTTTGGTCGTGTACGATTATGCGCGACGGGTTGCTTGCTTCATTTTTCTATTTCCGCCTCCGGTGGTGCCGGGTGTATCGCTCCGAGGCTCCGACACCAGCAGCAGCAGCAGTATATTTGTATGGTCACTATGACGTTAAGCGTGCGCTCGCTATTGTGTGTAATACTGTGTGTGGTCCGGATGTTGTGTGCTGTCATGCTTGGCATCCACCCCGCTAACCGGCTAACCCGTGCAAAGACGCCAGTCTTGCAGCGGGATTTTGAAACACGATCACGTTTTTGGATGCGTGTTCGCGTGTGTCCTGTGCCAGGTGTGGAAGGGGGAGGCGTTCCGGCTGTGGGTGGACCTGTGGGCGTCCCTCTACGACGAAGAGTCCAAGAGCGCGGAGCTGCTGCACGACATCCACGACTCGTACTACCTCGTGGCCGTGGTGGATAACAACTTCATCGACGGCAACCTCTGGGAGGTGAAGATAACACTGACTGCAGCAGTGGTGGGCCCGGTTTTAGCGGTCTCCTATGTAGTGTTCCTGAGGGAATCTGGTTGATATTTAGGTCGGGTCGCTACTGCGGGTAGGGCGGGGTGCGGAGGTGCCAAGATAGGCAGGGGGTCTTTAAACTCCCTCCAACCCTACCCTTTGTCCTTTTGACCCCCTTCCCGAGTCCGATCCTGATTGTGCTCGTGAGTGGTTCGGTACACCCACGGGGCTCATGGGGCAATTGTTGCAACCCCGCCAAAGAAAGAGGCGTTTTTAATTTTTCACACCCTTAACGGCAGCTGCGTAGGCATGCATGTAGAGACTCCATCGAACGCACGGGTCGACCTCTGTATGAATCCAGAATCACACGTGCGTTTTTCGTGCCGTATCCTCGTATCCTTGTAGTTTGTGGGTTTTGTGCGGCAACAGTGACATACGGGCACAGGAGCGTGCAACCGGCATCATGTCGTATGTTGGTAAGGATGTCACCTTTCTGTTGATCCATGATCCAACGGCACCAAATCCGTTTCAATCCTCCGTTGCCGCTTCTGTCTCCACCCTGCCCTCCTCGCCTGTGCAGATTTTCTCCCAAGGCACGTAACCTGGCGCTTCAGCGGAGACGGGAAGCTCTACCTCCATCTAGCGTTTTTTTACTAATTGATGCAACTCCGTAAGCTCTTCCAAGCTGGGTTCGTGATAAGCAGCTTCAACCTTAGGACAATGACGAGATAGGTTGTCTTGTTTGTTTTTTCAGTACGTGTCTGCAGCCTTGATTTTTCGATTTTGTGCGCCTGTGGGTAGGGTGACTGACCGTGGCCCCCGCTCGTAACCGGTGGTATCATCGCTTTCGTCAATGGTCGAAAAAAGGCCCGATTTACTTGATGTCAGGGCGGTAGGGGATGGTTCATGCAAGATAGCCGACGGGCGTAGCTGATGATGTTGCATGCCCTATGATTTCGTCCCAATACCTCGGGGTTGGACTCTGGCATCTTCGTTGCGCGAAAGAGGGAAACAGCCAACAGGCCTCGTGCATGCACCAATGGGTTGGCGAGTCGAATGTCACGTGCACGTCCCACTTCGGGTTCCGCTTACGACGGAACAAGTACAAGTAGTGTACTCTTCTCTTTCTATTTCTAACTGCCGAATGAATCCCAAGGTACTGTAGCCTGGTCAGTCTTCCCGTTGGGAGTGCGCCCCTCGAATGGTACCACTTGTTTTTTTTTCAGAGAAGATTGCTGGTTTAGTTACTGGCATGCCGCATTTACGTTTGTCATTTTTCTGAGGAACTGGCGCAGCCACATATGGGGTCGGGTCGCACTTACTTGCGGTAAATACAAGTGTTTCACATCCGAACGCGCAATTTAAACTGCTGTCGAAGGTGTTTTCTGATCAACATTCTCATGAGCACAACGTTTGACTGTCAGGTGATGACCTTGCCCAAGGAAACCGCGGCTGCTGGAAACTGGAAATCGTTTGCGTGGCCGCTTCGCCACCATAGGATTGTCAAGCGCCGCCTACGTCCCTCCTATGAGAGCAGAACGGGTCTGAAATTCGACAATAATAATAGACCCGACTTTCGAGAATAGGAGGCTCAAGTTTTACGAAGTCACCGCGGCATCAAGCACACAATGAACGCTCGTTGCGGACCGTTTCGGCCAAACTACGCTTTGTGTACCATCCTCAAAGGCAATATATACCATCCTGGTGGGCCTGGCTCGGAAAGGTGAACATTCGCGCAGGCCCGTCAGTCAAACATCTAGGATCCGCGGGGGGGCGAACATGTTCGATATTTTTGCAGCGTAAATGGTGCAATGTGTGGGTGCACGTGTCAAGACCGACCCTTACACTTGAGTGAGGCGACACACATAGTCTATACCTCAATTGCGTGATACAAACGCGGTGAAAATATGAAGCTTGAGACCCACCTCTCCAGGACCCCAGGCAATTGAACCGCCACGCCTATTAGATCGTATTACCAGCCGGTCGCCCCGGTGGTCTAGTGGTATCCTCGTAATCCGCTAGTCGCAGAGGAGGTCGTGAGTTCGAATCCCCATGAGGTGAATAATTTACGAAATTTGCGGGTGAAAGCGAAACATAGCTAAAAAGCTCTCGTGAGTACCAAACTTCGACGTTAGCACCGTTGACGAGGGAAAGGGACGGCTGGACCGTTCTCGCGATAAAAATAAAATTCAGCACGCACCGCAGGAGGAAGGTGGGGCATGAAAAGAAATAAAAAGCAGGAAAAAGCCCTTGTGTTTACCCCCTCCTGTGTGACCCTGGGTGGTTGTAGTTGTACGAAAATATACACTGAAAAGTGTAGTACTCTACATACATAGACTACATACGCTGAAGAGTGTATGTAGTACACGCCTCACCGCGAAAAATGGGGGGACTGTCGCCATAATAAATAGGACGATTACACAGAAACACAACACTGCAGTTAGTTGTACCACCTCGCAGATCTTTGTACAAAACTATCCCGTTCCACAACAACATTGTCNATAGTGGCATGAAAATCTCCTGGCAAAATCTCAACCCGATATAGTGGCACTTTGCCACTATTGAGGACGGGGCCCTCAATAGTGGCATTTCGGGCATCACACACACCCAATAGTGGCAGTTCCAACTAGTGGGCCCCCACTATACTGCTGTACCACACCTACCTGCCCACACACACTCTCAGTAGTGGGCGCCACACGTATCAAGCTAGTCTGCGCGGACCAAGAACTGTGTAAACTCCCAAACCGACCACTGAGAGAGGTTCTGGCGAATGTTAACATCGCCCCGGGCGCGCCTGCTCACCCCACGGCCATCAAGGCCGTGGAGGCATGGGCCGGGTTGGAGGAGCAACCCGAGTTTGCTGAAACTCTGTCTGAAGACGCAAAGGAGATTTTCATGGAGGAAAAGGTTAACAACACTTTCAAGGAGGACGAAAACATTTCTGACGACGACGACGAGCTAGACAGCGCCAAAGATTCTGAGAGTGCGGGGGGTGGTGGGAAGAAGGCGCCGCCGTCGTTCGCGGAGCTGGCTGATTTTTTTGGTCCTCTAGAACAATACGCAGAGTCGTGTGGCATTGGTGACGCCGGGCACTTTCTCCGCAAGGCGAAAATGGCATTCTTGGCAGCTACATTCGCTAGACCGGCACGGCAGTTGGACATTAGAGTGTTTGCCGACTCGTAGTGCAATCAGTCGGCTGACGCCTACAGTTGCAGAGCATCGTGGTGGTTGGGTTGATGCACCGGGGTGGGGGTGTTTGATTTTCCTAGTGCTGTAGGGCTGTTTCAGTTAGTTTCGCGTCTCTACGTTGCTGTTTTCATGCGTTCTACACGTAGTGTTGAACCCCATGTTACACTGCCCGCCGGACAAAAAAAAAATGATATGCCACCTATGATACAATGCGTTTGGACGTGGTTCCTGTGGTCTGCCTGCACAGAAAAAACAGGTCTTGACCACAGAAGGCTCGGTAACCGTTGGAGAATCAACGGCCATTTCATTTGTTTCATGCGGATACTGCTGCACACAAATAAACCACGAGGAGTGGAACAGTATACACGACTTTACAGCGCATAATGAGTGTACAGCGTGAACATCGAAGCTCTTTATTCGATATAGTGGCACTATTGACACTATCGACTGTCTAATAGTGGCAATAGTGCCACTATAATATCGAATAGTGGCACTGCCCTGAATAGTGGCACAATTCTGTCTGGCCACTATATGCCACTATATCGGGCCACCTACTGTACCTACCTCTGGAAGTATGACAGAATCAACCTCGACGAAGACGACAAGGAAGGTTCAACGAAGAAAATTAGCTAATTAGGTGATACACCAAGCTAAGGCTGTGATCTACGTACATTCTTAGACACGGAACATTCGACATGACTCAATTTGACTCAATTTTGAGCCCCACTTCGAAATGTGTAATCTATGAGCGACGGACATTGTCATGTAGACTATGTGCTTCGGCTGCTGCCATTCATTCCTTGCGTTCAGGCGCTGCGCCTCAAACCGTGTAGTCTAGACTATGCATGTGCGCAGATAGATGCGTTCCCGTGTTACCCTTAACCTGTGTAGTTTACTCAGTGGCGTCGACAGCAGTGCTACAACAACAGCCTTGCCAATGAAAATGATGTCAGTCAATCAATGCGAACGGTTAAAATCAAGGTCCCTGGAACGGGGCCACCATATAGAAAATAGCAACCCTTGGCGAACGCGTGTGTGAGAGTTCCCCGAGAAACCTGTGAAGACTTGAAAGCGCGAGCTAGGATTTGGATACATCCGATATTATAATGTGCGACAAGTAAAATGTCAAATCCCAAAATCATCGACATAAACTAATGATCCCACCAGAAACACTCATACCATAGACTATCTCTTGCACTTCAAATGTGTATGGTCCCGTTCCGCTCCTCGGACATGGCACCAGGTGTTGAGGTCGCCTGAGGGGAGCATGCGCGAGGTACGTACGTATAGCCTAGCTCGAGAAACGGATGTCTACAAACGTGACGGAGACGCAAGCATCGCAAGCAGAATAGCTGGTGCACTCTAACGAAGAAAGATTTGAGTTGACGGAGCAGGGTCGCGTGCCGCCAGATCTTTTGCGACCTTTGTGAAGTGCCTGGTGGCAGGGGCAAAAAAGTTCGCGGGTTCGACGCTGCACCACCCATTCCGCTCCGGTCTGTAAATCTATTCTTACACAGACCACACGGCGAGCTAACGGGAGCGTCGCGCGCGTTGCTCATCCCCCTTCCTTCTACAGCAGTACCCGCCATTCCGCCGTACTTAACGAAGGAGGTAAACAAGAGCTGGGCCAGATCGCCGTCCCTATCCACGGCTTGGTCGCCAATCAACAAATCTACGAGGTAGGACGCCAAGAGGATGGATGGTACACCGCTGCTGCGGTGCTCTGCTTTATCTAGTTCATGTTCCTCGACTCTCGACCCAACACATCGACGCCGCTGGCCCGCCAAATATCTTGGATTCCAAGGGGGTGTTTCGTTGTCTCACACGGAGACACGGAGAGATGCTCTGTCGTGCGTGCGCTGAACTGCTGCTGCCTTTGGCGATGGCGAGAAGGAATTCAACCATTTTGGCTGCGAAGCTGCAACAAAACGTTCGAAACATTCGAAACTTTGAAATTTGGAACCCAACGTGCTGCTGTCGTTGATGTTTCGCGTCCACAACACAGATGTTTCGTGTCCACACCTACCTGCCGGGCTGACCGCTGACCAGCAGGCAATCGATCGAGCGGGAGCGTCGTTCTTTCAACATTCCTTGCTGTAAGGTTTCGTCCGGAGCCGAGATTTTGGGGACTTTCCTCTGTCTGCTGCCTCTTGCAAAGAAAGGCGGCGAGAAGGACCAAGACAGAAAGTTCATCCGCGTCTCCGCCGACTATCATGCTCTATTATTTTGGCTTTCTTTTTTTCNGTTCGAATCCCCATGAGGTGAATAATTTACGAAATTTGCGGGTGAAAGCGAAACATAGCTAAAAAGCTCTCGTGAGTACCAAACTTCGACGTTAGCACCGTTGACGAGGGAAAGGGACGGCTGGACCGTTCTCGCGATAAAAATAAAATTCAGCACGCACCGCAGGAGGAAGGTGGGGCATGAAAAGAAATAAAAAGCAGGAAAAAGCCCTTGTGTTTACCCCCTCCTGTGTGACCCTGGGTGGTTGTAGTTGTACGAAAATATACACTGAAAAGTGTAGTACTCTACATACATAGACTACATACGCTGAAGAGTGTATGTAGTACACGCCTCACCGCGAAAAATGGGGGGACTGTCGCCATAATAAATAGGACGATTACACAGAAACACAACACTGCAGTTAGTTGTACCACCTCGCAGATCTTTGTACAAAACTATCCCGTTCCACAACAACATTGTCTGCTGGCCGGGCGGAACCATGTATGTATGTCCGTTTCACAATGATAAGGGTCGATTTTGTCCGGACTGCCCACGACAATAGACCAATAGACCACCTCCTTGTAGGACTATTTTATTTATTTATTTATTTTTGCCTTCCGACAATTGCAGATGTACCTCAGAAAACTTTCACTTAATGTCTCATACTCTACATGAATATTAAACCAATACGAAGTACAACAACATATGTAGGACTTATTTCTACTGTCATTTACATCGTAAAAGTATCTCCTCTTCAACTTACCAATGACAATCCTGATGGTATCCTATATGCGTTCGTAAGCTTGCTAAAATACTACTGCGTTGATGTCCGCTTGTAAAAGCTGAAATCCAACAAATGCTTTGATCCATGCTACATCTCCGTGTTGGAAAAGCCCTTTCATCTCCGTTCATGATAACATCTTACCCTATTCTACGCAAATCTGTCACATCTACTCTCAAACAAGACGTCAACTTCAAACGAAAACAAACGCGTTCTACGATGCGTCTACACTCCATCCCCATATCATTGGCGTTGACTGGTCCGAGGTCGATCTTGTATAGTCTACATCTAATCGATCCCACGCGTTTTTCTAGCACGGCCGACCTCCATTCACGTGGCCACGCTCAGTTCACAGCGGACCCTCCAACGTTGACACAACAAACCCCACGTTGATAGCAAAGAATGCCTCCAACATTAACATACAGTAGATGGCCCGATATAGTGGCAACCTGAATAGTAAAGTGCCCGATATAATAGTGGCATGAAAATCTCCTGGCAAAATCTCAACCCGATATAGTGGCACTTTGCCACTATTGAGGACGGGGCCCTCAATAGTGGCATTTCGGGCATCACACGCACCCAATAGTGGCAGTTCCAACTAGTGGGCCCCCACTATACTGCTGTACCACACCTACCTGCCCACACACACTCTCAGTAGTGGGCGCCACACGTATCAAGCTAGTCTGCGCGGACCAAGAACTGTGTAAACTCCCAAACCGACCACTGAGAGAGGTTCTGGCGAATGTTAACATCGCCCCGGGCGCGCCTGCTCACCCCACGGCCATCAAGGCCGTGGAGGCATGGGCCGGGTTGGA